GATGAAGCTGGAGCTCAAGATCACAAGGTAAATCTGCTTTTAATGGCAAGCAAAACTATTCCTAAAAAAGGCAAATAGCCTCCCCAGTACTGCACTGATGTGTAATCACAGCTAATTACTGCATACAAAAATGCCTGTTAAAATGACAAATAGCGTAATCTGGGAAATCCTAAAATCCTCTAGGAGCTCCATACAGCACCAGTAATGGAGTACAATGTCTGAAGGTCACCCACGGAAGGTTACAGGTGGTACCTCAGACTCACTTGGTCACTCTGTGGAGTAAAACATCCATGATGTTATGATCAGACGCAAAAGGAAAAAGGAGCCAGTTAAGATTTATTTCACATTAGTGCAAGGCTGTTTTTCATAGTCCTTTTCTCCCACAAACACATTCCAGAGAAACACAACAAATAAGCAAGCTGCAAGACGCTGGTGCGTGGCTCACACAACCTACAACCTGAAACCACCTTTGGATTCCCATCAATGCCTCCATATGTTTGAGGCACATAAAAGAGTTCATGAGCTCCCTCAAAGCACAGCAGAGGCTCACCACCACACTTTGAAACACATTTCCTCACCTCTTAGATTCAGGCACATTCCCCATGTGCCAGTATTTCAAAGTATAAACACAAATGTCACAGCTCACAGGGCTTTGCAACTTGTGTTCATCTGCACTTCAACAAGAGTCAATAACCACTAACAATAGAGAAATGTGGAGAATTCTGGGCATAGACAGGGAAACAAAACCCAAAACTTTGGCTGTTTTAAGAAGCATCAGCAGCCTTTGCAGAATAAGTCATATTTTCACAGAAGAACAATAATCAGGTCCTGCAAAGCTTGAGGGGTGAGGAGGAGGGATGGGGAGGGACCTCTATTCTGATTAAGCAAGAGCACTGGCCTCACCCCATATTTTTAACTGGAAAGAGGAGGCTGGAGGGAGGAAAAAAAAAAATGTCATTCAGTTCTGAAAAAGTGATCATTAAATCAAGTGTTATGCTCCAGAAGGAAGCTGGGGGCGTGGGGAGGGAATCTGGCAAACCAGAGAAGTGTCACTATTCACAGGGGCTGTTACAACCAAATCAGTTTGTCACACAGAAGGCAGCAATGTAACTACGCTGTACTGCTAAGAGTTCACATCACTTTGTCATGCCAGTTTATGGTATTCCCCTTTAATCTCTACTCTCCTCCAGCTCTGGATTATCTCCAGGCCCCATCCTGGCAGATATCCCAGGGTGCAATGAGCTGTCACTTCGCTCCATGCCCTGAAACTGTTCTTGCAGTGCACTGTTGGGCAACCGCTCAAATCCAGACGCGGTGCCAGGATGCCTCCCTCTCCAGTGCCTCTCCTGCATGTGTTACGGGACTCTGACACCTAGTCCCAAACATAAGCAGATGTCTCTGGTCTTGTTCACAGTCAAACTGGAAAATAGGGTTAGACTGCAGCAATGCACGTAAAGGAAAGACAGTGGAATCAAATGATGAAACCATGCGTTATCTCTGAGGGGCATTTAACCCAGGCGTGCCAAGTCTTTACTGACACTCATTCCACAAAATATATGAGGACTGGGATACTGTTAAACATTGTGGAGGACTGCTTACTGTGGCCACAAATCCTGTCACTGAAAACATATGTGGAATAAAGAACATTAATGCAAAATATGTAAAGCTAACCCAGACTAAGTGCCCAGGCAGATCTGCCCCAAGCTTCCTCTGCCTTCCAAAGGAGGGCAAAATCTTCTAAGACAGGTGGGGGTGAGGGAGGTTTCCAAGGTTCAAACCAGCACTTGCAAAGACAAATATGTTTTAGCTCTTGAGACAACTGATCATTTTCTACCAGCAAAGAAAAGCTGGTGCCACCTTCAAGAAACATGTGCAGGTGAAGCTGGAGCTCCTGAGTTCTCTGGCACCTCAGTCCCTCACACTGCCCTGGATAAGTCACCAACCTGCTCATCCCACACCCCCAGTTTGGGAACGGAGGAGACACTGGTTCTGTTTATTCCCATCACTGTATCATTCCAGAACAGACTGCCTTATTTCCTGATCCTTTTCACTTGCATGGTGATAACCACCCCTGAAAGCGCTGGAAAATTGGTGAGAAGAGTGGAGAATTGGGCCCATGGCACACAGTGTTTTTAGGAACACGAGGCAAGCAGTGGGCCATGAGTATGCAATTCTCCACTTTCAGTTGGATATCTGACCTTTGGCACCAGTGAGTTAATGGGATTTAATCAAACACAGCAGCAGTCCCTCCTGTGGCCTGGGATAGAAGAGGGGTTTCTTGGGAAGCAGTTCAGCAGTACTGTCACACAGTGTCTTCCTATGCTGTCTTACTGAAAAAGAACCAGCTCTGTCTTTCCAAAACATAAGGGTACAATCATAGGCCTTTCATAAAGAGAAGATGCAGACGAAAGCAAAAACAGGGCTTATAAAACAGAGGGTCAAGCAAGGAAACCAGGAAAGCACATGATAAGAGTCTCATTCTGGAGGATCAGACTGTTATTTTCCTTTATGAATAACTAAAGAACGTTGCTGAAGCTAACTTATCCTCTCTTTCCCCACATGGATGCCTGCCCTGGTTGAGGGATCACTCCTATTTGTTTAACACTGACTTCCCAAAGATGTCCTTGGGATTTAATACTTTTTGCAAGGTCAGTGCTCAGTGAAAAAATTGAGACAAACATGAGGTTTAGTTAAAAATAAGACAGACAAAATATCCTTTCAGCAGAGCAACTGTCGTTCCCAGGGTATTTTCACTGAAGCTGCTTGCTACTACAAGCCGATGCTGACCAGGACCACCACACTGTTTGCCCTCAGTAAGGGGTTAGCCAGGCCAGGTGGCTGAGGACATCCCAGGGCCAGGAGAGATAGCAGGGGGGTGAGAGGCTTCTCCTGCCTCTTGGCAGGGCACACCTGCCTCCAGCCCCGTTCAACCTGGCAGAGGGGATGGCAACTCCAGGGACATCACAGGAAAAGAGCAGGATGGGCTTTGACGCTAATATCAATGGGCAGAAAAAAATGTCCACCAATGGGGGAGGACTGTTTCTTCCTCTTTTTCTAACAAACTAGCAGGTTTTCCCCACAGAGAATTTCAGGTGTTTTGTGTCTTACATTAGTGCTTTTGATCTAAATGGTGGGGGGCTAGTTCTAGAAAGGAGAGTCCCTCAGCTCTGTGTTAGGTTCTAAAAGTGCTTCTTGAAAATGGCTGTGCAAAATCAGGTGTTTATAAATCCCTGCTCACAGACTGAGCCCTTCTGTCAGGACAGTTCTGATCAGTCCCTGCATGATTTTCCCCACAACAGGCACAGATTGTCCCTTTGAAATGATGTGGAGCAAACCTCAATTCTCATGTGATGTAAGGGGGGGTCAAGTGCAGATGCTGCAATAGGAAAGTGGGGATACGCTGATCCCACTCTCCCACAGCGACAGCCTGGAACAGCACAGAGGCAGTGGGAACACCTCCCCATGTGGTGACGGGGGCAAAGGAGGGAATAAACTGTACCTCATGAAGACATGTTACAGCAAGGAGGCTTCCTGCACACTGAATGGCTCTGGAAGATGCTGCACCTTTGAAATGGTCATGCTCAGCTCAGTTATTATTTTACAGGTGGACAGAGGAACTGAGATATTAGCAGAGCCCAATGTCCTGGAACACCAGCAAAGGATCAGACATCCATTACAAGCATCTAACCTTTGGGCAAGGCGAGTCCTGCCCGAAGGGCCCATAAACCACCTTGGGCTGAGCAACCAAAGGGTTGGCGGGACAGGCTGTCCCCTCCCCTGGGGCTACGGCAGGCCAGAAGGGCAGGGGGAGAGACACCGACACCAGGGAAACCAGAGCCACAGTCTGATACCGGTGACATCTGTCAACAATTCTGTCAGAAAAATGTCACTCTGACAAAGATGATTTTTTTTTCTGTGAAATCAAGTCCAACATTTCCAGATTGTTTTTCCCAGAAGTGAAAAACAATTTGGCATTTTTATATTATTTTTACTTCTCATAACCCATCACTAGCGTGGAGAGTGTCACAAAGGAAGGTGATACAGAAACAAAGCAAAATAGTGTCCAAGCTCATTTTTAGGCAATCTTCTGGCATGTTCAGACTTTTATTTTTCATACTTAGAATAAAATATGGAATTTCAGAGTGCTACAACTTGCCAATTCCATGTTTCAGCCAGCTCTATCAGATATCCCAGGTGGGGTCAGACCTTTTGAGTTGATTTACTACCCAGCACTGAAATACAGCATAATCAGCACACACCTAAGCTCCTGTGTACCATCAGAACCTGCTCGCCTGGCCTGCCAACAGCATACCATTCCACACTGCACCCAAAGAAGCCAAGACCCAGTACTGCACATAAGCATCCATTATTATGGATGATCTTTCCATAACAACATTTCCCCTTGGAAAGTCACGCCATCCTAGGGAGACTGCACAGTAATTATATAGTGCCTTTTGTGTTCACCAGTTTCTTAATACTGGGGTGCCACAGAAGTAACACTACCCTGTCTTTCTTCTCTTTCCCAAAGAGACTTTACAAGTACAAAACAAGTAATTAATGTCAGAGTGTTAATGACCTATCGTTGTGAGTCTGACTGGAATGAGCAAACAGAACATATTTAACATTGCAGGTGCAGATCCAAGGACAAAAACAAAGTGGAAGAAACCCTTTACCCCTCCTCCTCTTTTCTCTCTCTCACTTATACTCCTTTTTCCATTAGAGCAGAATAAACCCCTTTTGACTATACAGATATTCTTCCTAAGCATTTGCTCTGTCTGGCCACCACCAGGTATTTAGGGTAGCTGAAGAAAGCATGAGTATTTTTGTGAGCTGAAACTAAAATACTGGCTTTCACCTCTCCTCAGAAAACCTTTAGATTCACAGATCCCAAATGTACTTTTTTGGACAGCATCAGCAACTGCAGCGGCATCCCCCAGCTCTGTGTGTGCTGGAGCAGAACAACACAAACAGCACATCCTCACAAGGAGAGCATCAATTACCTTTGGGCGCTTCCATTCAACTTTCCTTGGTGGTGCTGACTGGTAGAAAAGGGACTCATCTGAGGCTGGAAACTCAGGATCTTCGAAGAGCCGTCTCTGCTGGATACACTGCCCTTTCAGCTCATGGTACTTCTGATCTCTGAAGAGTTGCACTGGTGAAGACATATCTTTCTGTCTAGATAAGACAAATATTGGTTTGTGCAAATTCTGAAGGCTCTTAAAAGTCCATAGATGATACCACTCATTGGTCTTTAACAACAGAGCACGTAACTTGTTCTAAACAAGATTAATTACTGATTTCTGTTTCCAAAAAAATACAGATTCTAAATTAGATTAAGTAGTAGACTAGAAAAACCATAAAACCCAAGATGATCTTATATATTAGGATGGTATTTTTGGCTGAACAGAACTCTTATCAGGAAAGACATTAGAGTCCAGACCAGGCACAAAACCAGCATTTTGCGTTGTCTAATTGCTTGGAAAGGTAACAGAGTGGGGCTTGGCTCTCAGTCCGTACCATGTGTGAAGGGCTGGACCATCTTTCTGTCCTCCATTCTTCTTCTGGCCACTAAAGCTGTAATTATCTACTCCAACTCTTATGCCTAAAGAAAACCAAAACCAGATTTCCACAGTTCTCCATCTTAATTGAATTGACAATACTTTGGCTGGTATTATTTTCTTTGAACTTTATGTTATATTTCAGGGAACTGAACTCCCAGAAGCAGCAAATATTTGCAAATAATTGATGAGAATTAAAAAGCAAAACAAACAAAAAACCCAAACAACTGGCTCTCAGGCCTTAGTTCCTGGAATCATGACTATGTAACCTGGCAAGTTTTTGGTCACAGCCACAGAGCTCAAAGAAATTGCTTAAAAACATTCTACAAATCAGAAATCAACTACGGAAATAATTCAGGATATTTTGAAGTCTGGGGGATGTGAGGGATGCTACCTTTATTTCAAGAAGAGTGGAGAGACTATCTGAACTTACTCTGGAACACTCCTGTGTGTCAATTCCTCTCCTCTTCCTTCCCGTCACGGATTAGAGATGTATCTGCCCTTCCTTGAGTTATCTACAGCAATAAAGACAAATGCAGGTTGCCCTGATGTCAGATGGTAAGAATTAAACAACATGCACGCCATGGAGCATGGCATCACATTGTCCTGTTGCAGTGATCTCAGCTCGTGCTCCTCCTCAAGCCACTTGCAGCGTGAATTGGATGAGATTCCACAAATTTGCAGAAAACTAAACTAAGCTAGGCACAAGCCTTTTCAGGCATGCAAGTGAGTAGAACAGGAGAAATACAGAAGAGCAATGACAAACACTTGGAAACGTCAAATTTATTGTGGTCTTTGTTCTTGTGAGTGAAAGCTACTGTGGCCAAAATAGTCTAGGGATGGTTTTAACAGCCTGCCTCCCTCCCTCTTCCCCTCCTCTCCCTCCTCTCCCCCTGCCCCAAAATAAATTAGATGGTCCTTCAAGTATGAGAAATGCTGCTCTAATGCTTACGCTTACAGGAACAAGGAGAGTATTCAGGAGTGCTATTCTATACCTTGCTGCCATTCTTGCACCCATTCCAAAGCCTCCTAACCACACTCAGAGTAATCTACCCATAAGTGATTTCTACCAGCAGAATCTTACACAGCAAAGTGTTAGGACGAAGAACCAGTTTCTTCTTGATATTTTGATCAGACAAATTTTCAAAGGCCAGCTCATTCTCCCTCCTTTCTCAGGGCAAAAATCCAGCAATAAATTTTGCATACATCAGGACTGTAACAACTTTGAGTCAAACCCTGATGCTGCTGGAATCGATGGAGAAACTCCTATGCCTTCAGCCAGAACTGGGCCATGGAATCCCTTAGTGACTGTGTTAACCAGCTTCAATAAAACAAAACCACACTTAAATGAACTGTTCAAAACCAAAATGGCTCACTGATACTATGCCATTTTCAGCAATTTCCTTTTTCTTAAGGGCTACTTTCTTGTTGATTATCCCCCCCAAAAAAAAAAAAAAAAAAAAATTACAAAGCATCTCACTTGGCAGATGGCTTCCCAAGACAAGGCAAGGAGACTTGCTTCCCCTTCAAACCAGTTCTTCAAATTCAAGTGCAAAACAACTTGTCAACTATACAAAGATAGCTCAGGGACCAAAAAGAAAAAAAAAATAAAGTAAATAGTTTGGCTAATTTGGGTGGGATATAGATTATTTCACGATAACTGGCATTCTTGCTTATTTAATTCCTCATGAGCTAACAAACATTCTATACTGAGCCTATTTACAAGATATGCTTGATTTTAAAATAGCCCCTGAGTGATAAGGTTTTCAGCTGTCACTGCCTAATTCACAGAGATAGGTCTTTAATGACCTCATTCCCCCACCCTTTCTCTCCTTCTATCTGCAGGACTGGAACGTGAGTCCTTCCAGGATTAACACCCCATTACACAACAGCAAGTCTCGCAGCAATGAACAGAATGTGGTCATAGAGCACAGCACATGAAATCACGTGCTACCTGCCTCACCCTGGGTTCCTCGGGGCAGCACTCACTGAGGGGAATGCTAACGAGGGGGCTTCTCCTGCCAGGCTCTTGACCTGCCCCCTCTCCATGCTCCCTGTGCCATCCTGAGGAAACAACTGAGTGCATGTCTTAGAAAGGGACTTGGGCTCCCAGGGCTGCCCAGCCGGGGTGCTAGCCGCTTTCCATCTGCCCAGGAGACCGAGCTCTGGAGCTGAACTGAAGTCCCAACACCACGTGGTGAACTAGTAGGAACCCACTTTCACAGAAACCCAAACACACCCTTTTGAAACACAACAGAAGTCTCCTTGTTGGAAAGTCCACAGGAAAGAATGTAAATGCAGTTTCTATACAACAGCCTAGTGGTTTAAGCACTGAGGATGGAGGAGCATAGCCGAGCTCCTCCTCTCCTGGGGTGTTCAGCTACCAGGACATGGTCTAACCTGGCTGACACAGATAGCAGGTACCTGGCTCCCACTCCAAGGTTTATTTTTGAAGCAAATCCCCATTTTTGACCCTCAGTTGAGCACAAAGCTCCCAAACTAAGAACCACACTCCCTCCTCATTTCTCGAGTTCACAGTACGCAATAGCCCAACTTCCCCTGCTCTGCACCCAACAGATTTACCTCTGGTTTAGCTGACACCCATCACGCACAGCAGCGCTGCGGAAACACGAAGCACGGCTTGGCAGCCGCTCTTTCCAGGGCTCCCTGCGCTGTCATATGATACAGAGCGAGCTGTGCACAGCGTAATGAGGGCTAAGAAGTACAGTCCTAAAAATCCCATACCAGAGTTCGGAGACCCTCTACCGCTCTGCAGAGAGAAAGGGACCACTCCAGGGGAGGGACAGAAGACAGAGGAAGGGGGAGGAAAATGCCAAACAGCTCTACAGGTCAGCCATTCTTATACTTGTGGTTTATTTCCCTGACCATATACAATTACAATTTTGCTTTTTATTTTTTCCAGCCTCTGAGCTGAGCTCCCCAGCACAACAGCTCCACAGCTGACCCCAAGGTTTCTACAGCACCGTGGCAATCCCCCTTGGTATCAGCAGGAGTACGGGAGGTCCCACATCTCTCAGCTTTCAACCACCGAGCTTTAAAGTCTTTCTCTGACCCTCACTCTCTCAGTGAGATTCCTATTTTGATTGGGAAAAGGATTTCAGCAGAGCAGTGAAGATAAGCCAGCGAAAACAGAAGCATTTCATTTTTACTTACAGTTAATACCCAGAGATGCTTCCCCCTGTCGGAGCCAGCAAGAGTATGGCTAAATCGTGTTCAACTCGGTGGCAAATACCAGCAGCCTTAAATTAAAGGAACATTCACTTGAAATCTGGTTCTTCCCAAGACTATTAAGATGAGCTTCAAGTATTATTTCTGCTACCCAATAGCATTTCTTTACACTCACATTTTCCTGTCTTAAACTTTCTCTTCCCCAGTTGCTACATAGAAGAGCCACAACAAGCAAGACTGACTAACAGTCCAGACAGGCGTGTGAGGGAAAATTACACCCTGACTACCATTAAATTCATGCTATTGGCATACAAAAACTAACAGGAGAAGTCATCTCTTCTCAGGCCAGTTTTGTTACTCTGTGTAACTAAGCAAAACACAGGGTAACAAGTCAGGGAGAGAAGTTACTATAGCTGTTAAGCCAACTGCACCCCTGAGCAGCGAGCTAGCTTGCATGTGAAAGCATCCCTCCCACTCCCATCCCTGCAGGAGGGACGCCGGGACAGCACAGAGCTGGCTTTGCCTTAAAACCCAGCGCTTTCAGTCCCTAAGGCGAACACTGCCAAGCAGCTGGAGTGAACCCGCTACTCTAGGTGAAACTCTTCAAGGAAGAGGCTTGTAATACATACATTTTATCACACATCCCACTTTTCTGTTCCAATTGCACGAGCCAAAGGAATTTCCATACACAGCACCAGGACTATAAAGGCAAAGTGCATTTCTAGCCAGTATTTAAGGCCACAGTTGAACACAGTTTTGAACACAAAGCTGCTTCTTCCAGGAAGTAGGTCCTGGGATGAAACTGCCCAAGCTCAGGGACACCCCAGCCTCAGGGCCACATTCCTACTGTTCCAGGAGTCCCCCTCTGGGAAGACCACAGAGGGATGCTAGAAAGAATACACACAGCATATGCCATGCTCTCAGGTGGCATCCTGGTTGGTTTTAAGATTACTATCCCTTTGCAGGTAACCAAGCTTGTTTTTGCTTCATGCAAACAGTAGCCTTACCAATAATAAAAACAACCAACACCTGGGTCTTGGCTTTCTCTTTTATAACTGCAGTTGTGCGTCTGTCTTGGCAACGCACAAAAACCTCCCAACTCTAAACTCCGTTCTTTCAATACAGACTTATCACCAAACCTCAAAGCCACTCTTTGGACTGTGACAGCAAAACAGGGACTCAAGTATTTAACTGTTTGCAAACATAGTTTAGTATTTTCCCAAACATCTCTTTCTCCAAACTCGTAGCTTGCTTCAGAGCAATCAAATCAGTGAGTGCTTTCGAAAAAGCAGCCCTGCAGCCAAAAGCTTTAAATTACTCTGGTTTTCTGTAAAACTAATTAAAGGCATTTCCAGGGCTCCAGCTGGAGAAGGTTATTGCCTTCTCTTCCTGAGCAGAATGATCACAGGACCTTACAA